AAATTTTGATGCTAATAAGCATGTTTGTATGAATATTTTATTTGATTTGTGCATGCAATAAAAATTTAAATATTCACCTTATAAAAATGACTGTTTCGTTTTTCAATTTTCGTCAATTTTTAAATGGCCCGAAATACATACTTCTTGCTACATAATGAAATATGTATTAGTTAATTTGACAGTTTAAGAATAAAAATGTCCAGCTGTCTTCACTGAAAATTATAAGAGTATTTTGAAATTAATTACCACATTCAATTCGTTATGCAACCAAAATATCTGGGTATTCTTACAAATTTATGCAATCGACCGTACCTTATCATATTACTTCTCGCGAGATTATTATAATCTCTGTTCGGATTTTATTTATTCTTTTTCCCGTCGCTTTTAATGAATTCCAGCACAATGCAGAACACACAAATATGAGATATAATTCCTCGCTTTTTTGCTTTGATTTATTTTCCTATGATTTTTTCGCTTTAAAAATGTAACTCTATAATTATCGTGTAAACGTATCTCGCAAAACTCAACCGCATACCATCCTCGAATTTCATTGATTCGTCGGAAGCACGCGTGCTTTCTCAAAGAAAGCTTACCAAAATTCGTCTTTTTTTTACTATTCAACAGAGAGAATACGCTCTCTCGGGTATAATGTATTGGATTTTCAATTTTGCAAGAATAAATTATCGTTACCAATCATGACCCACTTTTACGAATGGAAGGAAAACCGTGTATATCGCTTGTAGATAATAAGATTCTTCGTAATGAGAAAATAGAATCTCTGTTAAGGGAAAATCGTTCCCTCGAGGAGGAATCGTAAATGCGAAGAATCAATGGATAAGCAACTGCGGATTGCGCTGGACGACCGCCGGAAATGAGACAGAAGTGTAGCGAGAAATTCGTGAATCTCTCCCGAAGCCAAACTGTTTTCCGCGTATGCAATTGTTATGGCGCTCCAGTAATTGGATTTCGCTATTAGCGATATATGCACTCCATCCCGAATTCCATCCCAGAGAAAAATATGATTTCGAAAATAAAATCACCGGTGCAATAAAATGCGCGTTCTACAATTATATCGATACCTTCGGTTTCCTCTCGGAGGCTTGGAATAAAATGGGAAATCAACCGTAATTCGCGATTAATAAAGGTGAAAAAACTATCTATCGTCGGAATAAATAAATACTAAATAAACGTGTAAAATAAACGGATGGAGAGAATATTACAGTTTAGAGAGATACATTTTGTAATTACGACTGTTGCCGTTGTGCAGTTTCTTACTATACGTAATAGTTTATTATTTTTATTTGCGCAGAGTGATTTAAGAATAAGTATATCCGAGATACATAATTTGCTTGTGTATGCCCTATTATCGGATTTGAAGGTAACAATATTAGCGAGCTTTAATGAAACTAATGAAACGCAATCACTCCCTCTCTCTCTCTCTCTCTCTCTCTCTATAACACAACGCAGAGTTGGTCAGCATTTGGGGCTATTTCGCGGGCCGTTTAATCAGTCCGCCGTGGTGTGTATAACGCAATTTACAATGCGGTGTGTTGTGCTGCTCCAATTATTCCAACTGAGACGACGATGCACGATAAAATCGTTCGCCATCGAAATGCGTCGGAGGCGAGAACAATTATAATCGCTTAAGCTCCTTTTTTTTTCCTCGCAATTTCGTTGCCACACTCGACACGCGTGAGATACATCGAGTGAGAATGTTAGTATTTGAAGCAAGGGCGAGAGCAGGAAAGGCGACTTAGACTGCTTTCGTGCAAACACAAAGGGCCAACTTAATAATTTAAAGCATTAGCCCCGCTAAAGCTCCTTCGTCCGTCTTTGAATCCGCGCGGCGCGGCCCCGTAGACAATCTCGGAGCGTCTGAGCGACTCGAAAACTGGGGTAAACTCACGGATAACCGTTGGTCGATACCCTTGCCCTTAATCTGCCCCAACGTTTCCCAGAAGACCCGGCTCTTGCGACCGTAAATTATGTCCTAAACTAATCATCATTCTCGCGTATATATATTCCAAGACTGACTCCGGCATTAGATGTGTCTCATGTTTATGGCAGCGACGGATTTCTCCCCCATCTCGTTAAATAAGCTTCACCTTTCTCCCCTCAGGCTGTATATTCGAGGCTGGGATTACCTATCCTCGAATACCCCAGAAATGTCCACTCGTAAAAATTCACCGAGCCATGGAGAAATAAATGCGTCTTTTAATTATAGAAATCTTCTATTTTGTCCTTTACTTAATTATCTGTATTAATTTATTATCGTTTTCTTCTCTGAAAGAATGACAAGACTGAAGGGAGCACCAAGATGACCGACAATTAGCGCGAGAAATAAAACTTATATTTTTCAAGAGAAATACTAACTGCCCGACTTCTCACTTCCGCTCTCGATGGTATTGTCTTATGAGATCATCGTAAATACAATTTAACCGCGAGAGGAAGGCACAATCATCGGCGAGACCGGTGCTTCGGTGAATTAGTGCCAATTAAGTTACAACTTTTTAGCTAGCGCGGCGTGAATACGCGACTGCCACGTAATTTTCTTTGTTCGTGCGAACAATGACAAAAAAATATATTCTTGTCAGAGATCGTTTCCTTTTAATTTCTCATTGTAACTGTGTTCCTAAATTTACTACCAGCGCTGAAAATCTAAAATTTACGTTACGTGCAGCACTATAGATTTTTAACAGTGACAGTAAATTTTAGAGAACACAGCCTCTATTGAATGCGGTGTTTTTTTTTAAAAGATACCATGTATTCAAATATCTTTTCAGACTTGTAGAATTAATAAATAATAAAACAATAATAATATCAATATTTCCTAGCTCAAAATTACAATGTAAATATAGTAAAATACATAGTTTCATCGGCTCTAAAGTATAATATATTTTAATAAAGTATAATAATGTACTTTTATATTACATCAAAAGATATATGGATATACACCAAAAAGAGATTCAAAGTGAATTTCTCTCTCACTACATTAATTTATATATTTTTCTTTGCAAAGGATTTTCGCTCGAAAATAAATCACGTGAAATTCTCAACTCGAAGGTATCGCAATCTTACGAATACGGTTGTAACGCGAGTCAAGAGTCAGTCACCGACGTGAAAAATATATCGGCGATCCATCACGATCGAGAGCGTGCCAAAAGCTCGGCTGTCCTGGTGGATTCCTTTGAAAATCCATTTAAGAGGATCCTTGTCGGCGCTTTAATGGATGCATCAGATAATTGAGAACCGGCCCTTTCGAAAGCACCTTCTTCTCGACTTGGATTAAGTACACATAGATTCGCACGAACGTAACGGGCGCGAGGAGAATTACTTTCCCTTCGGGCGGCACCTTCGTTCTGTTAAACTTCGTCCTCGTTGTTAAAAGCGAGAGGCCATCCTCAAGAACAAGAGCGATATACGGTATTGTGTCGTCACATTTTCCCAAGCACTTAATTAGTCGCATGAGATCGTCGAAATGAGATTCCGCTTTGAAAAAAGGTGTCGAGCCAAGCAGAGTTGGAAATGTATACGTTCTTTCTTCTTAGCGATAAATGTATAGCGAAGGAAAATTGGCCTCTCCGCGCGTTTATTATTCGAATCGAATTAAGAATCAATTATAAAGACGTTATAAGATAATATAAATTTTTAATTTAGCAATTTATTATTCATCATGGATACTTAATATTTATTGTCCATTACTCGCGCGAAGTATATATACATTGTACATACATTATCGTACAATTATTTATAGGATATCCAAGGAACCATCACTCAAATCGCGTCTCTTTTCATTCGCAAACGAGAAGAACTGCAGAAGCTGATCGAATGAATCTGGCGTGTAGACATTCATAAAAAGATCGGCTCGCGCGCGTTTATGCATAAAGGTTTTTTATAGTGCTGCATAAAGTATTCAGATTTTTGAATTGTAGATACGCCAGCGACGGACGTCGGGAAAAAGTTAAAAGCTGGCGATAAACCGTTAACCGTTTATTGCTACTTCCGCCTCGGGGGCAAACGGCTCGGTCCGGGAAATAATTCAGTAATAATGGATGAGAATGTTCACTTTTTCACGCCAGCACGAAGATACGTACATATATGGAATATAATGTCGGATATACGTGACTTAAAAATAAAATCGTATGTGAAAATATGAAATGGCAAAAAACATAAAAGGTGACAGAATTACAGCGGCGTTATTTGAAACTGGCGGCCACTTTCGTTACGTTTTTTCCTTCATATATATATATATATATATATAACGTATTTGTCAAAGAGGGGACGCACGAAGGAAGCTGTGATCCAAGAAGCGTCGAAGCGGCGAATCGCTTATTGGATTAACGGTCTAATGAATAACTCCGGCGAATGGCTCTATACACGGTGCGTGTCCGTGCGTAAATTGAACAAATTATAGAAGAATGCCTTTGGTGTTCGTGGGTGGACACCCTATGCCCCTATATAGCAGCGTTGCGGCTTTGCAACAGAGAAAAGACGACGGTTCTCAAATCTTACGCTCTCATTTGGGGGGGAGCGTCAGTTTAGCGTGAATGCCACCGTTCGATGCTTTGTTCCGATCGCGTTCCAATTATTTTATTCAAATTGACATCATTTGATTTAGCGCGTGAAATTTATTTACCTCTATTTTATAACGGAGGCAAAATCCTCTTTATGTTGATTATCTTTAGCTATTAAATAATAATTAGCTAATTGTCAGTTGCAACTCTCATAAATATTTCATCTGACACTCACAGAAGGTGTGGAACGTAATAATTAATGAGAATCGTCGGTTAGCTCCGACCGACATGAGTACCTTCTGATTCGTGCAATGGACAAGTGGTCATAATTACGCGCGATGATACATGTGCGTGTGCGTGACAGTGCGTGCGTGTGCGTTTAAGATGCGTACGGAACACGACGAGTGACATCTTAAAGCGAGATCAGTGCCTCGTGGAGGACCTCGAGGGAACCACGCGCATAAGAAGGAACGTCTTTTTTCAATGTGATTTAACGAATTTTCAAAACTTATAACGCGCGTGTAATTGTCCTTGAGAAATGCTGCTTCTTATTTGGATACTCTGTATGACAGGTATCGTAGAAAATATCAGTGATTACATTGATCAACACCGAAATTGTATTCTGCATTAAAATTAGCCAATTCGATATTCCTAGTTGTGATTCTCATATTATATATATTTAAAAAAGAGACCATCTTAAATACAATCTTAAAATGCCATGAATCCGCATCAGAGGGCCGTTTTAATATCTTAAGACAATACTTGAAATGATTTTGAAATAAGACCGGACTACGCGACTTGTACTGGTTTTAAGTTTGAAAAATCTGGATTTAAATGTAAGAGAGCATTGAGTGATATCATTTTGCAATATAAGTATAAATAGTCATTTTTCTCTCGACGAAATTTAAAAGTAAAACTCGCTGCCGTCATAAAAACTCTAAAAATCGTCATTCTTTTTCTTCCTTTACGCCATTCTTCTAAAAAATTATAACGTGACAGCGAAATTTGGACAGAGAATTCGTATATTCAGCAGGAAAAATGCATATCGTAACTGACTATTCATATTCGCGATACAAAAAAAAAAAGGTAAAATTTTGTTGTCCACAGTGCTGCAGGGATCGCGTGACATTAAAACGTATATAGAAGTAGAAAATATCGTGTTGTTTTGGAAGGAAGGAACGTCAGAAAATTATCAGATTCTGAATTGTTGATGAACTTTGTAACGTTTTGTTATTCTCGCACGCATTTCGCACAAGTATCTGTGTTCGAAGAATTGAGTCGGAAGGGTGATAAAAAACTAGAACGCGCCTCTCTCTGCTCCAGCTATCTTGCGCTCGGAGGAATATTTTCGCTGACGTATTCGAGTTGTTAAAAATAACTCCTTTAGAGTTTTAGAATTTGCAAGCGGATTAAGAGGGAGAAAAATGAATTGCCTGCATTATATAGAGATCCGTATGCGAGAGAAAATATTCATTTCTTAAAAGCTCCTCTTTGCGGCCTTTACGCGACATTTACGCGACATTTACGCGACATTTACGCGACATTTACGCGAATATGAATGAAATTGATTCAATTTTCACTTTATTGTTTCACCACTTTAGATAATCATCGCGATAACGAAAGAACATGTTCGGGCAACCCAGTTTTCTCGTGATCGAACCCACGAACGAGTTAATCGGACTGAAATATCTCCTTATGGCGCGGCAGCGTAATTATAGCCATATTTCCGTATATGTGGATCGATTTTTTCGAGAGGGAAAACCGTGGGTTATGCATGCAGGGACGCACTGTAAAACTTGTGCTCCGTGTTTGCTTACCCACGTCAGGCGCACGCAACTTCGGCAATCGATTCGCCCGCCCCCGCGACGCTTCCGCAAGTGCGTGAGGGAAGGCATAATTGCGCTGTAGTTTCGCTTTCGCAAGGCTGACCTGTTATGTATATGCAACACGACGCGATCGATCGTAAAGAAAGAAATGGATCTCCATAGTGCGCGTGCATGCTCGAGGGTTGCAGGAAAATTAATTCCGCGCAGTCACTATATGCGCGTGCGAGATAACGCGAGGGATTTTGCGTGTCGAGGAGGAAAGAGAGATAAAAAGAACAGGACGATTATATACGAGTCTTGCACGGAGGCGCGAACGCGATTTCGCAATGCGGCGACCACTTTGCCGCGCGGTGTCGTTAAATGATAATTTAGTTATTATTATGTTGCACTTGTGAGAGCATATATCCGTATATATGTGTATTGTGTGTGTCTTACAGGAGTTCAAGCTGCGACGAACAGCGACGGTCACCCGATTACGGTACAAACTTACGAGAACAAGACTGTCTTGCTGCCGTGCTACGTGGAGGGTATATATCTGTTAATGATCGATTTTATGCGCCTCGCGTTTCTTCGTCAAAAGATTAATTGTCCGCGCTTCCATACCACACACTCTCTCTCTCTCTCTCTCTCTCTCTCTCTTCTTTCTAATTTCGTCAAGTGTGCGCGCACGTACGCGCGCGCTGGTGTAGAATTACTGCCATTTACGAAATTGCCCGACAGACCCGAACCCGCAATCTCAACCCACGCGATAACAAACGCCGGGGTGTCTTTTGAAACGTCGTTATTCCTACCTATGCGGGCGTGCAAAATTAGGATAAAGTGGCACACGTGGAAAAGGGTGTGTTTCCGCGCAACTGCCGTAAGCTGAGCTCTTTGTATCGCCGAGAGCATTATAAATGAGTCGTTATGGGTCTTGTTAGAAATCTTGCTTCATTAAGACGAACATTATTTTATACGTTATGCTTTTGCATATTCATTCCTTTCTTTCTCTCTTTTTTTTTTTTTTCTGCACGTCAGTTGATTTACGTTGTTTAAAAGAGAAAGAGAAACAAAAACTTTCCTACCGAGGTTTGTTTCTTTTTTTTTTTTTGCCTCTCGTTAGCAGGTAGTAAAAGTACTTTGTGTGTCGGGTCCGAATGTTTCGGACTTAAGTGACGTCTACGATGAGATTCTAACAAGACGTAAAACTTTTAATCAATTACAGTCGAATGTGAGATTAATACTCGACTAGGATGAGTTAAGGTTTAAAATTTTACTGTAGACGGAAAATTCATATTTGAGATTGTCTTAAATACAGTTTTTCCATCATAAGATACAGTCTTGAATAAAGAACGGACTATGAATACCGCCCTTATCGTTTTGGGAGTAAAACCTCACTTTGTGGAAGCTACTTTAAGCCCGGGCTTGTTCAAGTATTCGGAAAAAAAAAGGTATAGTTATTTCTGCCTCGTGTAGACGCGCAAACTAAGGTGACATGGTGGCGAGAAGAGGTCCTTCTAGCCGATGGCCGCAGCTCCGGGCAAGAAGAGCAGTCGTCCGAACGAATCACCCTGTATAGCAACGGCAGCCTACGGGTTCGCCACGTGCAGCGAGAGGATAGCGGGCAGTATGTGTGCCAGGTAATCCGACCGTCTCCGTGGGGATACGTCACGCAGCTATACTTCGAGATCGAAGTGATGTGTGAGTAGTACATTGCAGCACACCCGACGATAAGCGTCCCCCGTGTAACGTTTAACCCGAGGGGTAAAATTTGTCTCTTGTATATCGAGACGAAAGAGTTCTTTGCTCCGAACCGAAACGCGTCTTCTCACGGGCGGCGTCCTATATCTACGATATCACTTCCGACCGTTTGACTTTCTATACCGATCCCTCTGACCCTCTCCAAGGCGGAGATTTGAATTTTGCATGAAAGTGTAAACACGATGTAAAGTCGACTTACAAACGTTGTCGAGTACAACGGAGATTTATTTATTCGCTCGCGCTACTTTCCCGCTCACAGATCCACCCAGCGTGGAAACGCTGCCCGAGTCCGGCGAGCTGGAGGTCGATCTAAACAAGGAAGTGATAATGCAATGCGTGGCGAAGGGTGTACCGGCCCCCATCATAAGTTGGAGGACGAAGGTAATCGATATTCCTGGGCTATTCGATATTATACCATATCAGTCAACGATATTACGCGATATCGGCGTCAAACGTTCCCACGTACGTTAATGGGAAACGTTTGATGAGAGAAGGAAAAAGAAAGAAAGGAAGAACGGAATGAAACGCGACGCGAATATTCATTCGTGCATGAGATTTCCCTCGATCGGGCAATAAGTCAATTTAAATTGGAATGGTAAATGCGTTGTCGCGGTGTATAAAGCATGGTTTTCTTCTTCTTCTCCGCAGGGCAGAGAAATTCCTTTGAAGGACAATCGGTCGATCCTGAAATTTTCTGCCGACAACCGAAATCTTTCCGGCAAGTACACCTGCGTGGCCGACAACAAAATCGGCGAACCGGCGGAGGCGCATATAGACCTACGTATCAGATGTGAGTCTCAGTGTATTCCTCGCAGGCAAAAGTTGACGTTACTTGTCGTAATTTTGAAACGTCGAAATTACTACGTTTGCACGACTTGATTCGCGCCAGTTAAAAGTTACAACATCGCGAACTTTGACGTAAATCGAGCCGCAGTCAAAACGTAGTCGACGACGACAAATAACGTCAGCTTCTTACCTGAGCTGTGTATATCTTATATATATATATATACTTTGTGTGGCTCTCCGCCGTACTTCATTATTAGCTGTAATATGGGCTTACGAAGTCGTTTCGGGAGCACCCGCGATTAATCGAGTTTAATTACGACCGCACCGAAACGATCATGCAAATCGCGCCCTACCCTTCTTCGTAGCAGCACAATTAAGGAATTGCCGCAGATTGCTCCCTTTAGTACTCCAATCAAACGCATGAGCGAGCCAATTATGCTGATTGTACAGTTGCTACGAGTGTTTTGCAGATGTTAATCAACTTTGTGATGCACTAACAATCCTTTCGCTTTTGTAATATCAAAACGAGCCTTACATGTATCTCAGAAGTGCCGCTTTAAACAACACGACTATACTATACATGTGTGCGCTTTAATGTAAATTTAAGTAACTAGAGTGACTTTGACAAAACTTTGATAGTCTACGTGTATATTAACAACCTTCTCCAACAATGTCTCTCCTGTAACGCGAATAAAATTAATTATTAATTTTTTACGTGATGTTGAAGGCAATAAAGTCAACAAGTAAGAAACATTCAAAAACTAAATTATAATAAACAATTAATAAATACTATATAAAGAAAAATTCTAAATCGAACGGTAATAAGATTAAATATTAATATAATTTATGACAGTCTCCTTTATTTTCTTATTTATTTTTATGAATTTTTTGTTTAATCTAACAAGGATTGGATTAGATATAATAAATTATATAGGTTGAAACTTTGTTTCAAGTCAGTTGGATTAATTGCCGATTAAATTAATCGGAGTTTGACCGGAGTCAGCCTAATGCCCGTTTCTAACGAATGTAGCTTAACTTTAATTTCAGTTTAATTTACTTTTTATCTTTCTCTAGTTTTAAGAATTATAAAAAGATAAAGAATAAATTAAACCGAGATATTCAAATTAATATAAATTTGTAAAAATGAGCCCAAGTCATTTAACTCGAGTGAATATTATCGCAATCGAATCTTTAACTTGAGAGTAAGTCACTTTACTTTTTTATATAAACGATCACGAGTATTTTGACACTCCAGTTAAATTAAAATCATTATTATTAACAACCTATTGTATGCTATCGTTTTATGGATTCAGTAATAATTTTCTGAGAAATATGTAAATAGAAATCAAATAAATATTAAACGGAATAAGAACGTTATTAAGTAGCTTATTATCACTTTTTTTTATTACGGATTTCCGATGGAATTTCACATTTAATATTCGTGAAAGGTAGTTATTAAAAAAGAAAGAAAATATGTCAAACATACACAGAACAATATCGTACAATTCTTCCGTCGCTATATGGCGTATGAAAGTACTCGAGATGATTTCCCAGGTAAAGTAATCTTTCAATGCTGTATCTACACTGCGTATCTATTATCCTCGCAGATAAGCCAGAGATCTATGTGAAGAGACCATGGGCGCATGCATATCCAGGGATACGAGTAACGCTAGATTGTACGGTGTCCGCCTGGCCCGAGGCAAAGGTGAGGCTGCTTTCCCCTAAGACTGTCAATATGGCGCGCAATTGCCCGTTAATTAATGGTTCGAACAATAATTAACGACGCAAAGAACACGTGCGCGCGCGGGGCCGTCTTCAGCATCGTCCCGTAATCGGACTTTTAATTACATCGCAAGTACGCGAGCGAACTTTGCGCACCAGTCGTGCTTGTATCTCTCTTTATTGTATTATACTTCTGAGGGTCAACATGTGATACTATAAACGCTTTGAAACATTTTTTTTTTTTTTTTTTTTTTTTTTTGGTTAGTTAATAAAATTCTAACAAGTAATATTCATTTATTAGATCCACTATACCATGACAAACTTTGTGTATAAATGTTTCTTCCTTTCTTTATTTATTATCTTGTTGATTTAATTTTATTATTCGTTAATTGTATTATATTTATTTTTATTTTTGTATTTATTTATTTATATTTATGTTTATATTATCACATGTTTTGTATTATTCTTTTAAATGTCAACACATCTCACTTAATTTTGAGATTTCAATTTTGAATAAAGATGACACCAGGGAATTTTCACGTAATCAACTTATTTATTATCACAAGCGATACTAATACTGGATTATAATAGTTGGCACTTGAAGAGGACAAAAACTATTGTTGAAACGTCTGTATAATTTCTTTGAAGAATATAATTTTATACACACGTTACAACTTGTGACGGCTCACATAGGCCAACGTAGGCTTATTTACCTTCTCATTTTTAATAAAATTCTTTCTCCCAAATCAAATATTTCCAAGTATTTGTATCGAAGCTTCGATCGCATTTCGAGGCACAATCCTTTAAATCGAGGATTTTCCACAAGAAATAAGCAAATCGAAAAACGAACGCGAATGGAATTTACTTCTGCAAGAATGAAGATTTCGTCCCTCGTCTTTCTGTCCTCTCTCGAGGCCAATGCAAAATTTTATGCACGTGATCACGCTCGTCTCGGTCGAATAATCTCCGCGCACCCTTATTAACTACAAAACAATCGACGTAAAACACTTTGAAAAGGTAAAACAGGGGTCCGATAACTCTCGCGGATAATATATTGTAAAAATAAATTTTTACGCTCTCCCGTCCCGAATTCCGAAACTTTAATATGCGATAAAAATTTTCCCTCTTTATACGTTAACGTTAACAAAGCATCCGGAACGATACGATCGATCGGCGGTGTGGGTTTCGACGTCCAATACAAACACGAAATATTTTTCTGGCAATACACAGCGACTCGTCTTTTCGATTTCAACGAGTTCTTCACGCTCGCGGTAACTAAATGAAACCGCCCCTCCTATCTACCGAGCAATTTCTCACCCAGATCCCTTAAAGCTAGTCGCACGTGACAAATCGATTCGTGGGGCACGTGACTTACTGTTACTTTTTTACTTCCTCGCAAAAAAAGGGACCGAACGAGTCAGAGAGAATTGTTATCACGGCACTTGGCGATTCGAGCGAAGAATAACTATGTATTATACCAATATCGAGAAGTTGTAAAAATTCATGTTTCACGAGATCTCTTTTCATTTAGGTTGAATGGTATTTCAACAACAAGACAATAAACTACACAACGTCGCGGATAGTGAAACATAACACTGAGAATGATCACAGTCTGTTGATAAGGCACGTAACGCCAAGCGATTCCGGTTCCTATACATGTAGAGCATCAAATTCCATGGGGATCACCGAGAAGATGATCGAATTATCGGAGATCGCAAATCCGGCAGTGTTCAAGAAAGAATCGGCCAGCGCGTCTAGCACGTCGTACAACTTTATCTGGGTCGTCGACAGTTACAGTCCTATCATCGAGTACCAGTTTTGGTTTCGCAGATACAAGGTAAGAATTCGTTCATATAGTTGAGAATTGTTAATCAATAAAGAGCCCCATTCCATAGGAAATCTCGGGAAAATCAATGTCCCGAAATCGACGTTTCGTCATTTCCTAAATGAGGCGTGTGGGATCTAATCGGCCGTGTGGTTTTCGTGCGTTGCTCGCGTTACGATGGCTGCAGCGCATGCAAAAGCTCGCATAGGAATAATTGAACAAAAGGCAATGCCCGCGCGACGGGTTATTACTAGAATCTTCAGTCATAAATGATTGATTTCCTGAATCAATAATAAGAGAGGCGAAAAAGAGATGCCGGAAGTGCAGAGCGAAATATACAGAATATTGAAGTAACAAAATATTTGTCGGGTTGTCTCGGCGCGCTCTACGAAGATTGAAAGCTGTTTTATCAGCTAATATTTTTTTCCTTTTCAGGGGTAATTCATTTCCTTCATTTTATCTTGCTTTTTCCGAGTTGTCTCGGCCTCGAGATAATTTACAGAAAATGTGAAAAATGTTGGCAATATAATAAGTCTCCCTGATACAAAGTATGAGGAATCGTAATGAAATTAATTTAATATTAAATACTGTGCCGAGAAAAAATATATTATACTGTTCTCATTGTTTGACGTGTAATTTTTTGCATTCTTATGTAACGATCTTATAAATTATATAATAAAATAATATATATCGAGAGAATAAATTAGTTGTCGAGATCCGCGTTTCTATGTCCTTTAAAAATCGATTTCAGCATGATTGAAGCTCTTTACAGATCTATTTTTTCTTTTCTTTTAATGCATTGTAGAAGAATGGCGGTGGTGAATGGCACAAATTGTATATACCTGCTGGTGGCGGTGACATCAGCCCGGTGCACGTTCGCTCCTTCAATTTGACGGGGTTGGACGCGGCAACCTATTACGAGGCGGTCGTTTTGTCCAGAAATCGTTACGGATGGAGCCACCCTTCAGAGATACTGCGCTTTCACACCGAAGGAGCTCGTAAGTAATAAAGATAAGTCGTTCGCATATATCCGTTACCTTCTATCTCTCGTTCCCTCTATTTTGCGCTCGCGCGCGACATAGCGATGGAGATATGTCCGTGAGAGGAAACTCGAGTCGTATGTGAGATAGTATATCGCGTCCTATTTTGCACGTTGCAGCTGTCGATTCCAGCGAAAATTCCGAGATGGATGGTGATCAAGAGCAGAACAGGATAGCAGGTAAATCTGACGGTTCTATTTCAATCTTTTTTTTATCTTGGGTAATTGCTAAGAATTAATCTTAATCTCCCTTACTTGTATCCTCTTGATCATACTAATTTATATTAAAATTTTTATTTATAACGTGACCTTATTTATTTTGACTTGGATACCTCTGACAAAAAAAGTTGATAGAGAACGATAGAAAATCCTGTCATTTTGAATATGGTTCGTAATTTGAATCAATCTTATAGGAATCTTATAGAACTTGATAAAATACGATAGAATTCATAGCCAGTCAATCGTGATGCTCGCAAAGTCGACGATAGAAAATTATATAAACTTATATAAAATAATACAAATTGATAGAAATGCTATCATATCAACTTTTTTTTATCAGAGATAAAAATGATTGTGGGAATTTTCCTACCTCATTACTTAACATCTCGAAAATGCAAGAACAAAAACAAATTATACGTTACTTATTTAACTTACAATTAGTTTAACTCCTTTATACCCAATGGGACATACATATGAAACCCAGCACATGAAAAAATCATATCCATAGTAAATATTGAACTTATTCAATTAAAATTAAATAAGGGCTGCTTTAAAGAGGAAACATTTTACGGAAAAGAATATATCGTGATAAATCTCTCTCTCTCTCTCATCTCACGTTATTCTTAAATAGAATTATGAATTTGTAAAACATGTGCAAGAATACAGATGAAAAGAATAACATTCGTAATTGTTAAAGATTATTAACTTATGTTATTTGTTTGTAGTTATACAGATCACATCCATGTCGCAGCATTACCTTCTGACAACGGATGCAAACGGATCGATTTATAATCGAGCGCAGATCTTGCCGTTGATATTAAGTACGCTATGTACTTTAATCATAACACGCGATAGATTTAACTAATGTTGTATAAAATGCGGAGAATAGAAAGTAAGAGATTGTTGTAATTTATGCGTATATGATACGGCTATTGTTAAATATTATCGTTATCAGTCATGTTTGCGCATCAATGAGTCATTTCCATTAACAAAGAGATTACAGTATCATTCGTACACAGTTGGTTACTTCAATATGAAAGATCATTAGTTATATAATGTAAAAAAAATTCAAGAGTATAAATTTTTACTATATTTTGTGATTTCCTCTTTAAATTTATACTGCAATTCTGCGAATAATTTGTATAATCAAAGCGATATAAAATAAAAGTATTAATAATTTGAGAACTAGTTTTGTCGGTAAATTCTGTTGCATTAGTTTGGAAACCTGCCTTGAAAAGTGGAAACAATATCGTCAGTCGACACTAGTTGCAGAAATTTTGCTTTTATGTAGGATTTACCTCGGCAAGTTCTATGAAAGCTGCATTATCGGCTAATATTTATTCTGTTCTCCTCATGGTTCGTTTCCTCATTCGTACCTTTCAAGAATAGTCTCGGTTTCGAAATAAATGTGCGAAAATGTTGAGAATACAATTGGGTTTTACTGACAGGACATCATAAGGAGTCATAATGAAATGAATTTAATTTAAACGTTGTACAGCCAGTGAGAAAAAAAAAGTGTAATAATTCTGGATCTTACTACTTGACTGGTTGTAAATTGTTTTGTATTCTTGTACAATTACCTTATAATTATATAATAATATAGTATAATATTAATATTAGACAGATTCACACAACGTCCGCAGTATGAGAAGGGATGTTTGCCCCTTTGCTTCTTTTCTTCCTTTTTTTTTCCATTTCTTTTGCTATAATATTCGCTCCCATGATGACTAACATATGTAGCGCAAAATACTTGATAATCGGTCTCGCTTAAAAGTGAAAAATGTGTAAAAACGTGAACCCTCGATGCAACGACAGTATAGAGCATTGTTTTTTTTTTTGTTTTTGGGAAGTTAATTCGCAATGTACTGTATTCCACTTGATTTTCTTTTTTCTTATCTCGTAATAGTGGTTTTGGGATTTGCTGGAATACTCCTAATTCCTGTCAGTAGCTCGAAGTTTCTCCTCGACAGCCTCCTGGGAGGCCTCCGACAAGTCTGTCGCCTGTATATACTTTTGCACACCAACCAGCGACTTTTTCAAAGCATCAAAGGAACTCGAGTACAACATCTTCTTCTTAACCTTGGCCGTGTCGGGACACCACGACATCAAGAACAATTTCTGTTTCTTGGATGCCTGAGAAAAGAATAATATGCCTTTAAAATACAGTAATAAGCTTATAATATTAGGTATATTATACTTGACGGAAAACGCTACCGCGTCTTTCCTGACAAGCTCTAACAATACTTTTCAAGTACAAAACATTAATTTATACGAAAATAGATATTAGATAATTACCTCGGAAGTACCCTGACATTGATGGGTATATTCAAAGTCAAACAGGCCATAACGGCATTCCCCACTGCCGCCCTTCTGCAAATCCTCGAGGAAGGCGTCGTAAGCCGCGTCGCGGGGTCCAATGACTTCGACATCTATCTGTCTTTCATCTTTGATGTAGAAAATCACATATCGGTGCTTTTTGTCTTTCTTTATCTCCTCGTACGTTGTCTTGCAAACGTCCGCGACTGTCACTCCAGATGCCTAATAAAACAAATGTAAACCATGTCAATTATTGTAGAGAGAAAGCAAACAAATAAGATAAGCGATTACAATCAATGTTTATTGACGTTTTTTAAACGTTGGCGTATTAATGTATTATCGCGTGTATTTTATATCTTTTTTTCAAGCATCTTGGATATATTTTCATATTTGGTAATATTTTATTTCGCTCAAACATTGTTTTATTGCAAAAGGGATTGAATAGAAGTACGAATTTATTCATCTAGCAATGATGAATTGCACACGAAATCGCATGAATCTTATCGTTCGATTGACTGTCGTCCTACAATGGTCAGGTTGATTGGTCTAGACAATCTAGGACCATCTCTCGTGTCAACGTCGGCAATCGGCACACGTCGCGCGCTGCCGGGCCGTTTAAGCCCATTTCGCGGGCAAAATACGTGTGGGGGACGCGCTACCGAAATAAATTCTTCCCACGCGCGAATCTCAACGCTAAAAGAGATCCGACGATCCACTTCTAAAGTTATCCCCTTGGCTCTCAGGCACGTGCCACGCGCTACGAACTTTCAGCCGGACGTCTTTTCTCTTCGCACCGCAGAAATTCGTGAAATACGACTGCGCCGGATTACCTTGGTATTGGGACACTAAAGGAAACAGACAGAATACTTTTACCATTCTTGAATTTTGCAATCGCAACTTTTAAATTGTATCGTTCGATAAAAATATCTAAACTTACGAAAGAGAAGAATCGTTTCGAATCAATTTCAAATTTCTGACCAAATACTTTGGCGGTTCTATCAAAACAGTTTTAAGAAATTCTGTTTTTCTTTTAAGTTGTTTTTTCTCAGTAGTTATGTTATTATTCTATATGAAAAAAATGTTATATCAATAGGATTGTTTTAATTAAAAATAACTTTGTTGAGGAGATAATATATTTAACGAATTATATATTTAATAAAAAATAAATATAATATGCTCTTGTTTTAATCTTTTTTCCATTAATACTGTTACAACTTAAGACAATTATTTTTAATTGAAACAATGCTGTTGCTGCAATATTATTTTTCTTTCAGTGTATCTACACAAATCTGACGTTTCATATCGCGACACATTTTCCCTCAGTTTTGGCAAATGTATGAAAGTGAAATTGGCACTCAAAGGGTGAGACCACGTCACTTGATTTGCCGTGTCATAACATCTACTTATATTGTGAAAGTTACAGCATTCAATTAGAGATAAATTACTTTGTCTAAAAATTACAACTTGTCTTCAAATTACATATTAAAAATTTGAATGGTTGTCACAGTTACATCCACATTGCGAATATTTTTTGTATGAAATTCCTCGTGGCTGTTTATTGAGCGCGCGACGTTCAGTCTCGTTAAAATGACGTCGCACAGCGTCAGCTCGAATTTCGCAGAAGCAAATGAATATTCGCGATGCGGATTCGCGATCGTTAATTATGGCTCGAATACGAACGTCCTCGATACCCGTACTAATGTATCGCCGCTTGTTCCACATGATCGAAGGAACGTAGCGGACGTGAATAGGAGTGCGAGGGGGATCCTGCGAGAAACGCGACGATTGGAGGGTGGCCGGCGAGAGGATGCAATTCCTGGGTCGATATCCTGACGGGGTGGCGACAGGGGGGACGCCGTTAAAGGGGGCTCCCTCTTCTGGGGCGTGCTGTACCCCTTAGCGCGAGCCACAGATAAGGTCAAACGGAGGAGGATGATTCATCAATAAATCTATATGCTTTCCTGCGCTTTCTGCATTTCATTAGGAAACGTGCTTTAATTCGTATCAGACGTGAACGTTGGAGTGCAAGGATTGCAAATTGGAAATTAATTTAAGTGTTTTCCACTGGGAAAACTAGTGCAACACTATAAATGCATACTGCAACCAATTCACATATTTTCGGTTTAGTAAATAATTTAATTTTTTTAATCGCATATTCTTTGTTGTCGCGATAATCTTAAAAGAATTAAATTATTTATTAACACCGTCAAGAAAATATGTAAATCAATTTGCACTCTCAATTACACAAGTGTTGCATTAATTTTCCCAATGAAAAATATTATAAAACTCGAAACAATGCACTGTGTAGAACCAGGACAGTGACAAATTTTTCTCCATTATCTTCAATGATAAAAAATGTTCACCTTTTTTCGCTTTATAGAAAAAGTTGCACGATCGTTATTCAGAAGTAGACAAATTACGATTTGTATAATTATATTTTAAATTTCACAATGAAAGATTTGCAGAAATTTGTTTTCTTCTGTTACATCTACCTATCATTCTCTCTATAATAATTTTACTATCTGGCCATATTTATAGAAAAGATTTGTTGACTATCCTAGTGTAAGCTGAAGTTATTGATAAAAATATAAATCTCCAATCTCTGCGAATAATTTGAAAGATGTCAGATTTTGCAAGGAGTAGCCAATATCTATCGATGTTATCGCAGGATGATTTGCGCCCTTTTTCCAATTTTTTCTTCGACTAGTAAAGATCGATCGCGAAGCAACGCTGCTTTGACACGATAAGAGGAAGACTGACGCGTGATGGCAAAAGAGTTTAATCAACCGACCACCGTCACTGCCACGAGAGACGTCAGTGAACTTCGAGAGAGTCTCTTTCTCTCTCTAGCTCGCAAGAAAATAACCACCGACCTCCTTACAGGCTCATTGAATTTTTCCCTCTCCCGTAGCTACCGGCGCACCACTGTACTGTGCATTGCGCCTCTCTCTAGTTCACTGTCATCGTCGAGGCGCGGCGAGGTGCGAGAGGATATCAGAGGGGAGTTAACAGATCGGAGGAGGGGTTTTGCGACGAGAGTCGGCTCTTCTCACCGACAACGCCGAGATAAACGTTTCAGGAAAAATGACTAACAGATTGAATTCGAGTGTACGTCCGATATACATTTTTCTTTCTTTTCGTGAGTAGTTTCAACACTCCGCTACACATTCCATTATATTGTAAATAATAAAATTTTAATACAAGTAATTAAAAAAATATACATGTAATTATGAAAATACATATATACTTTTATAATTATTTGTATCAAAATGTTATAAGTAAATTCTGTTTAAAATTAATTAAAGAACATTTCATGGACTTGGATTCGAGTTGCGTTTTCAATGCTTCTAGCTGAAAATTATTGATATTTTTACTCGAAAAAAATTGACTTCAAAGAGCCATTGAATCCAATGTTACAACAATCATAAATTCTTGAGACACGAATAATAAACTTTTAATTGTGTTAAGGCAAGCTACCACGTCACTCGCTACCAAGTCGCTCTATAATTATTTCCATGGGTATGTAAATTCTTTCGTGGGAGGACGGTTGGAGAAAGGGTGCAGCGTTGGCGAACCCGCGATAGGGTTAAGGTCGTGCTTAATCGTGCTGACGGGGAACGGTGAGGCAGCGCGATATAACGCGATAAGAGCATCGAGTCATGGTCTTATTTATATCGGCGCGAGTTGCAAGTGGTTTGATAAAGGAACGCGAGCCATCCTCATCGCGCAAAGTTGCAACTTTTTGCGATATTAACTGGACGCTTCCGCTATCGTCGCTCGCCTGTGTGTTTCGCAACTTCGCTGTCCCTCATTGCGTCAATCTCACGCTAACCGAATCCGTGTCGACGGAGTCACGTAGAGAGAAATGGTCTGGCTTCTTAATGTCGATGAAAGTAGCTCCGTTTTGGCATAACAAAAGAAAAAGTATTTGTAGACCCTATTTCTGTTTTCGATCTCAACTACTTTCTAAATTCTCTTCGAGGTGGAATCCCATTCTGAAGAATAAAAATTGAGCCAATCTCGAAAAAGAGTGGCCCAATTTTTTATCTTCAAATGAGATATTTCATTCTTTAGAATTAGATTTACTCTAAATTTAACGACATACAGCGCGCGAATACAATATTCTTTTTTTTTTAATAATAGATATATTAAAATAAAATAAGTTCTTTTTTTCAGTTTACTTGATCACATTTTTTTAAAGCACCGTTTTATACTGTAAAATGTGTTAATTTGTTAAAATTATAAATTTAAACTCTTCTTAAAGACTTGTTACTGACAGAGTTTTCATTAAATCATTGCCTATCACAATAGTTGTTGCAGAAAGAAAACGTCAATTAAAAAAATTAATTGTGAAATAATTAACATTAATTTTGTGTTTGACAAAATCGTAGCTCCGCAAAATTTTTCATAGAATGTGCCTTCAAATTCCAATCGTTGACAATATAAGACATAATTAATAATAATTATGAAGAAATATCGGCTTGAATTTCTTCAGAGATATAAGATTCCGGAGATTCTCAATTAATACCATAAATCAACGTGATTTTGAAGGGACTTTTTCGGCTGTAATAAATATAGATTACGAATTAAATCCCTACAATTGATCTACTTCTGCCATTTCAAACGTTCAAGTATACATGTTCTTTTCAAGCGGTGGATATAACGTGGTGGTGTAACCGGAAGGAAAGCCCGCCGTTTCTCGCTGTCGATGGAAATTGATTGCTACCGATTTCCGTAGATCGCAACGTGCCGATTGAGCAGATCATCGAGATAACGTGAGAGGATTGCCAGCGATCTGTCGACGATCCCGGTGGGAACCACCGAGTGAGATTCGAACAGAAGTGGTTGACGATAGCACGTGATTCGAAGCGCCCACCCAAAATAAAACACGCGGCGTTTTCTTGAAGATGATTTCGACAGTGATCTCGCCTCTTCGATCCCACTCGCGACGTCAATTCCTTTCCCAGTGACGTTCCATGAAACATGATATTGTTTATCATTACTTAAAAATTCGTCAACTCCTTAATAAACACTAACTAAAAGTAACATCAACGTTAATATAACAAAATATTGAAAAAAATATAAATTGTATTCATTGGAATTCTGGTTGAAAATATGGACAAATCAGAATTTTCTGATTAAATTTATTGACAATTCTAATTAGGATAACCAAATTCTAATTGATACGATAATTAGAATTTTCTGAATCGTTTATTTTCACCCAGAATTTTTCTCAGCGTAATATCAAAAATAATCACATCGATGATTGCATTCAACAGAACAAGCAGCTTTGTAACTGTTCTTGATTATGACTATGATTCTTAAGCTCACTGTATAATACAATTGAAAAGGACAGGTGATGGAAACAAGTAATAACAGATCTCTCAATCAATCAGAAACTATATATATTATGATACACATAGGTTGAAATCTCTTATTTTCTGTTTCTATTGCTCGTGTTTTCCAATTGTCTCAGGTTTTATTCTTAGTTTCTCACTAGAGCTAAATGTATAAAACTATTATATTAAAAAATTTCACAACAATTGTAAAACTATCTTTTCTGGTGAACACAATCAATATTACAATTTCACTTGACAATGTAATTGTGTTACGTACCTGTTATATTACATTCATATTGTTGAAGCCTAGTTTCTTTAATAAATTAACTTGCGGTTTTAAACAAGATGAGAATGTAAAGAATGAAAGTTTTTTTAGTTATGGTCAATAAACTAATGGTTTTATGGATGATACCTTTAAAAGTTATTCACTACAAAATTATCAGTTTAGTGATTAATCACAGATATGTAGAAAAATACATTTTTGTTTACATTATCATCAGATTGAACTTAATCACAAGTTAACCAGCAAATGAAAAACCGGCTCTGAATATGAAATCATAACATTGACGTTATGTTACTTTCAGTTAGCGTTTGCTAGCTCTCCTTAAACATATACAAAAGGTAGACTTGGAGAAAATGATCCAGAAGATCTGAAGACCTTCAGAATACACCTCCGCCTCATTATTCATTTATTATATTTTTAATAACAGCCACGCGTCATCTTCTTCTTTTACGTAGGTTAATATATGATATATATATATACTCGATTTAAGCAAGTCGAGCGTATCACGTGCGCGCGCACAATCGATATTTTTTCCTATTGAGAAATGATAAAAAAATATAGATAAGTATATAAATAAATAAACAAATAAATAAATACACAAGGCTGTAAGGGCGGCGTTACAATGTGTTACTCGAATCGAGAGAGTCACCGTCATTCTTTCGCGGCGAGCCGTTACGTCGTGTTTTATCAAGGCGATCGTCGCGACGTCCGGAGATATCCTCGGAATGCTTTACGGTAATTTCAGCGAATGCCTCAGAAATTTCGGAAGTGCGTTTCGAGTCTCTCCCTGGACGTCGCACGCGTTCGCGTTGAAGTAAATCGAGATTATCATCTCCTGGACGGAGCTAAAAAGAGACGAAGCCGAAATCCCAGTTAATGTGAATTTAATATTTATAGAAATGTGGCCCTACACATCACGCGTGGATGCAGGACCGAACTTGCGAGAATGACACCGGTTGCAATCGGATGCAATGCAACGTTCAGAGAGGCAAAGGGGAGAGGAGTCTCCACCCAGGAGAGAAAAAGAGACAGAAGGAGAGAGGGAGAGCGCGAGGCGGAGAAAGACAGCGAGAAAATGCAATCTCCCAGAGACATAAAAGCGCGATCTCACGCTGCGGTGACGCGCGGTTCTCCGTCGTCACTGATCGGTCGGTCAATCAGCTCGCCGAAGTGGAAATGAATCATCCGCTTCCTGGAAACAACGGTGAGTCCGTCGCCGTGCGGTAATCCGCGCCAGGAGGCTGAATGAGATCTGGAGGATCAGGTTAGATGAGCGGAGCTCGACGATATCGAGGGCGAGATCGTGCAAGATCGAGAAGACGCCGCGGCGAGAGATTCTCCCGGAGCGGTCTCGCCGTTGCGAGAAAGGAGGCGTATCTCGGGGAGCCGGGCGCAGCAGCAATGGCCGACCGGCGCGTCTGCTGCGGCCATAACCACAAAAAGGGCCGTCGCCGGGTCGAACCTCGCCCGCCGCGCTCTCGACGTCCATCGCACAGAACGTTCTTTCCTTCACCGAGGTCATTATTCGCTAAACAACGGCGGCGGCCGCCGTCGCGTTCGGATATTTACCATTTTTCGTAGCGGGCGATGTAGCCGGGGAGCAGAGTCACGTGAATGAGCACTTTAACCGACACTTTCCCAGAGTATCTCGGCCGTGGTGGAACTGGATAGCGGCTGGTTAACGTCCAGTCGAAGGAATCGCGCGGCTGGCTCGAACAGGCCGAACGGGAAGGGAGGCTCCTCTCTCACGACTCTCTCTCTCTCTCTCTCTCCACGAATCCTGTATCCCTACGCCTGCGCGCGCAGCGCCGCCACGACCCGCCGTTCCGATTGGCCCGCGACGGGCTGCCCGCGCCCCGTCGAGCATCGTCAAAAATTCTCGCGATTGCGCGCTACCGGCCGGCCGCGCGAGACGGAAAAATCGCGCGAATCGAAAATCTATTCCGTATTTGGAAATAAGTATCCCCATAGGGCGTCGATCCTGTAAAGGAATAGACGGACAATAAATGCGCCCGCGCATGAGGATCGCGGCCGGCACGCGGAACGGAGCGAAGGGTGGAATAAAGAACGCGCGAGGATTTGTCCGAATAGGAAACGCGATAACGACGCAAACTCTTTTCGTCCGGTAGGGACGACCGAGGCCGATTCGGCTAGGGTACGAACGCGAAATCGATTTCACGGACACGCGTTTCGGGAGGAATCAGTCATCGACGTGCCGGTCACGCGGTCCAATCGCCGCCAGGGACGTGGGGAAATTGCCTTATATGGGCAGCGGCGTGCGATCTGTTCAGCGCCGACGCGTCGCGTCGCGTCGCGTCGCGGCCGTCGCGACTGCGCCTTCGAGTCCTTGCGAGACGTGCACCGAAACACGCGATTCTATAACACGCCGCGGTCGGTAAAACAAGGCCGTATCGACTATCGAGACTCGAAGGCGCCCAAGACGATTTTCGATCCACACGCGCACATTTAGGGATTGAAAATATATTCACTCCAATTCATCTTATACTTGATTATTGACTTCAAATAATATAATCAAGTAATGCTATAGTTATAATTGTCAGTGTATTGTTAGCACGAATACAATTAAGCTTTTGTTACATAACATTAAAAAAACAATTCCACACAGAGAGTTATTATATTTACATATATAAGAAGAGATAAAAATTAGTTAAAATTTATTACATTATATAGTCAAAGGCCGCCTTTATAAATTTTCTGCTACGGTAGACTTCATGGAAGTATAATGAAAAGCAATGATTATATGCAAAACATATAACAAAATACAGAATTTTTCAACATAATAACGCACTCGATCGATATCCGAAAAATATATATTAGATCGCCTAGTAGAATAAATAAGAAAAATACGTCTTGATAAATTAAACACCCCATCCACGCACGCACAACACATACATATATATTTTTAAATACTGTCAGCTGTGCTACATAATTTACAATCTTATTACTTTTGTATACAAGAAAGTGGCATCGTTACACGCGTTTATTATAAAAAGATCAATGTATCTTGAGCGGACAATATGTACTTAAGATTTGCAATAAAATGATATACAATTGCCAGTGTAATGAAAACTTACGTATATGTGAAAAATACTATCGATAATAAAGATACACGTATTACAATGATAACAGGAAATATCTTATTATATGCATGTGTGTGTGTGTGTATAATTTGCTATAATATAATATATAAGAGTTTATAATCTTATCCGTTTCTTATCGCTTCTGAGTATTATAAATATCAATATTACGTCTGTTATATGCTAGTATACTCGACGCGATAATCCCGAGGGACACGTCACTCATGAGTCAACAGTTTTTTTAACGTTAGTAATGTTAGAAATCAAAATAGAATCAAATGCAAATTATAATGACATATACATGAAGCCGCGTAAAAATAACGTATCAGTATAGAACTAGTGAAAATAAAGAATGGGAGTCAACGCGAGTCGACGTCTGGTGCTTCATCATTATAACGTTTGAAATCGTGGGAAATCGCTTGAAATCTATTGCGATCGTTCGCTAATTTATATGACTTGCTTCGACTCAAAAGTGGCATGCCTCTCGGATAATCCTTCATACATACATATATGGCTATCACGGCGTAGAAAATTACATGGTTGTACTTTGTGCAAAAGATCAGAATTTAAATCCATATCCAAAACACATATATCTATATCAGATTTTATTTGATCATCACTTTTCGGAAGGCAATGGCAAATCATCGAAAGTATCTTTGCCACAACAACCTCTTCTAATAGGCCGTTCAAAATCCAGCATTAAAAAACTGTAAATTCCATATATTAATAGATATATACTGATACATACAAAAGAGGTAATCACACGTTTCTAATAAGGATATATTCCGCTTTCATACGCTATAAGCATCACTTTATCCTTGTTGTCTACGAAATATTGAACAAAGGCAAAAGACGCTTACAACCGCTGTGAGCGCAAAACAAAACGCACTCTAAAGAAACGATGGATTGAGAAAGAGAGAGAGAGAGAGAGAAATTTCAACAATTTTATCTAAAGCACACAAATTTCACTATTGTGTAGCATTCAATATAATAATTAACTTTTCCAAACAATATTGTACAAATATCTCTCTCTCTGAAATCAATCATCTCTTGTGACCTCTTCTGAATGTACTACTGTGAGATATACGGACGCTACAAATTTTTCCAACATATGTTGCACATAAAAATAAGAATCGTTTTCTACAGTTTTACAGTATTTAGCAATAGGGCTATACACAGTTACAATTTCTTGACAATATTTCCAAAATAATAATTTATTACATTTTAGAAGAAAGATTCTCAAGTTTTTGTGTCTGTGTGCTTAAATATATCCCACCGCCCCTAAATACACGTATGTACAATTTCAATAAAAGAAATGTAGAGACAATGAAGACGCGTCTTAGATTATAATTTATAATATAATGTAATATACGATGCAACAATCGTTTTGTACATATTTTCTACATGTCATATATCATAAATACAATTATAAAATCGTAATACGTTTCGTACGTTTGACACAATCTTCTTCGGTAATATTGAAGTAATAAAAAAATAAGTAAGCACTAAGGCAGTATATTAATCTACTTTTAAATAATTTTAGTTAGTTTCTTAATTTGTCAACAAAAAATCGGTATTGCTAAAAAAAATACTTTTTTCTATCATTAATATTGTAGAATCTCAAATAATAAAAATCATAATCAGTTCAAAAACATGATATATACAGTTTTGCTTTTTCTCAATAGAAAATATTAAAGATATATAGGTAAATTGAGAGATATTAAAATGACAATGTACATAAATGAACAATACACAAGCAGTATACACTACATACAGAATATGCAAATTAAATATAAGTTTATCTAATTAATAATATTGTAGTGTTTACGTTAATACATATACCTTCCATTTTCTGATAAAATGGCCTTTCAGCAAGATTTCTATTCTATCGTATACAACGCAAAATCTCTCTTATACCATTTACTGTAATCAAAGTCAATTCTTATATAAACAATTTGTAAGAAATTTTTTAAAAGTTATTTGGCAAATAACTTAACCGTTCAGTATAAATATATTTTCCTTTTTTTCTCTCTATTTTTATTTAAGTATTACGAGATATATGGTTGTCCCCCACGTGTATTGGAAGATGTGTGATAAAACGTAAAATTAGATTTTTCCGTGTCATCTAAGTAATACATATACCTCGATAATTCCTTATTCCTTAAGTACTGTCATTATCAATCAAACTGTTTTATATACACAATTATTGCGTGTGTACAATTATATTTTCCGTCCAACAATGATAATGTCGCTATTTGAAATACACAACAGGAACCGATTCGTTGAAACCTTTTTGAAGAGTTGGAACCTTAATTAAAATCTTTTCAGTACATTGAGTGTCATGTTGATAGTGATTCTTTTTACAGTCTTTATGGTGAATAAATACATCAAAGAGTGCGTAATAAAATTTTGGTTAAATTATACACAGTAATGATCTCCAATACATGTCCATAAGTAATCCGTATGTGTCACATCTGTACGCGGATATAATTGTTATTCTAACATTATGTTATAAAATTCTAAAAACCACCAGATGTCATATAATTTGTTTCGATAATATCCCTTTATTTATTATGTAACTGTAATACAGTATCACTTAATCCTTCATGTATAGAACTAGGAAACCACTACCACACTCAATGTATTAAACAGATATTAGTAGTAACATTGCAATTGTCATAAATAACCTAATCTCTCAGTCAATTATTACAAGAACGTATCTCCCGTTCTTGTTATTAAACAGAGCATTCAATACATGAGGAGATATCTTTAATTACTACAAGACAACCTCGATAACTTAACCTTATTTTATCATTACGTTTAAAACGTATCAACTGTTTAAAACGTATGAACTGTTAGATAAGACCGCGTTTCTTTTTGTAATCTTCTAAATTTAACGATCGGCGTGGTCCTGTATCCTTGATATTATTAATGGGCTTCGGTAAAACGCTGACAGGATTGTCTAGAAATAAAATTGTATAAATTTTATTATATATACAAACAAATGTACACATATATATTTGTACTCTACACATATCCCGTTTTGTTTTAATTATTAGACACAAATTTGTAACTTCATACAGTACTTCTTGCAGAACTTACTTGGAATAGGAACTTCCAAATCAATTGTTATATCAAAATCATGTGCATCAAATAGATCTTCTGTACTTTGCTTCTTCTTAGAATCCTGTCCATTTTCTTTATCAGCAGCCGACACTGACTCTCCAGCCGGATGAGGATTTGATTTATCGTTTACTGGAACTGTTGCTACCACTTCAGACTCATCTTCTGGCTTATACACCATCCTTGGCTTAGTACTTCGTCTGGTGAATGGGTCATCGACTTTTTTACCCTTATTAGCCTTTAGTTCTTCCTATTAGAACAAATTCGGTTGAAATTAAAATATCATTAATCGATTGAATAATGAAAAATATATCCTAAATGTTACCATTATAGCCTTCTCAGCTTCCTCTACATTTTTCTTTCTGTTACGATCATTTATATATGATATACTGGAAATTGTTGCCGTGCGCATTTTATCCAGCTCCGATGCACGCTCCTCTAATTCACCTAATTCTTGATTAAGTCGACTAGCTGTCTCGTCATCTCCTCTACAATTAGCCGCATCACGTTCCCTCATCAACTGCG